TTCCTTCCTTCCTTCCTTCCTTCCTTCCTTCCTTCCTTCCTTCCTTCTTCTCTTTCTTCCCTTTTTAGAAAAGCAGGCCTGATCTGGTAAAATAAGTATTCTGAATTATCTCTGTTATGGGGAAGCTGATCTGGATGTTATCTTGTGGCAATAAAAGTTTTTGGATGGTGAGCATGTTACTGAACGAATTAACGTATGAACTGACATATCCAAACCCATGACAGGAAGGGCTGAGTGGCCACAGGTTTCTGGAGCACCTATACTTTGGGGACTTTTAACAACATATATACTTGTTTCCACTCAGGGTTTGCTTCATTTCAGCCCTGAACAAGCTCTGATTTTAAAGCCTCAAGCTGTAAACCATGAGCATCTCCAAGAGGTGCTCCACTTACAGCTGGAAGATGTGGATTTGGGAGCCGTTTTCAAGGGGACGTTGTTACATTGTCACCCAACACATTAGGAGACTCTGGGACTGATTCTTAAAGCAGTTGTTCTTAGGCTAGGACTGCCAAATATATTTGATGAATGTTGTTCCCAGGTTTCTGGAATCGTGTAAAGCGAAGCCTGGGCACCAGTTCACAGAAGAATGGGCTTAAATTGGAAACATGCACTTTTGTCATCACTATTCAATGCAATGCACAGCAATAAAGTAGCACTTTTGCTGGAAGCAGATTGAAATGTGAAAGGTCATATTCACTCCAGAATTAAGGAAATTTTCATGGTTTGAATCATACCCCTGCGGAGCATAAAACCAGGTGAAATTGGGTCGCTAATCATTAAAAGGATGATTTATATCAAAATACATGGGTCAATCTTTCTTGCTCTTGACGATTGTAGATGATTGTGATTCCTTAACAAAAGAGGTATAAGGGGTATTCCCTAAAAGCCTGGGCAAATAAAATAAAAAATTTAAAAAAAGTCATCTCCGTAAAGCAAAACTTTAAAAAAACGTTCCTCTTATCGCCAGCTGTTTGGGGGACTGAGAGACCTGAGACGTTCTGATTTATTTTCTGACATTTTATTGAGAACATACAAGCAGTATGTACAATTCCTGTCAGTCTTCGAGATGAAGTGATGTCTTCGTTCGGGTGGGAGAGCCATCACAGAGCGATTCTGAGGTAGGAGAATGACGTGGAGAAGCAATCTTTCTCTGCACAAAGCCTGCTAATTTTACAAATATGTCAGAGGATGCATGTTAAGGAGGGGAAGAAGATGGTTACCCACACGGTTTGTTTAGCAGACAGAGTAGAAGGTGGGAGAAACTGAGCTTGCCACTTGTCCTGCTGACATCCCACCTTATCTGGATAATAATCCTGAACGCTAGACACCGTGTGCCTGCTCATAGCTAAGCGTTTGACACTAATAAGTATCATATGCCCATGACACAGAAGTAGGATTCCCATTTTTCAGGCAAAGTTCACGTCACCTGGATGGGGCAGATCAGAAATTTAAAACTGTGTGTTTCTTTGTCTCCAGAGGCTCTTAAAATGAGGATAAAAGTTCCTCTTTCAAAGAGCTGTTCTAAGGTTTTAAATGAAACATAATGCATGTTGCATAGCAAGGTAAATACAGCTCTGGCCCTTAGCTGAGCTCCCTATAGGATCCCTCATTATCATTATAATAATCGAAATCATCATTAGAATGGTGCCTTCTAGTTCTACCTCTACAATTACTCTGCAGTTACTGGTGCTAATACTAATTGGTAATCATCATAATCACGGCTACCCGGGGCCAGAGAGGACCTGGTAAGCAGTGGTAACTTAAGGAAGTAAAATAGGGGCAGATTCAACAGCTGATTTAAGTTACCGTCATTTGTCATTTCCTGCTTCTCTCTGCACTCACTATGGCTACAGGAGCCACGTGAGGGGCCATTTGAGGGAGCCTTGCTGTCACTCTTTGTAAACACACACCAGATGTGCTTTTTCCATTGGCTGCCCTCAGCCAGGGTTCACCCAGGGCAGGAAGGAGGACAGCTGTGTCCACTTTGCACCCCTGCCCCAAAGCCTGCCAACAGCAGCCCTGGAAGGACCATGACCCTCAGTGCCACCCAGAGCTGTGTTTGGATTTAATGGATCTTCACCTTATTTTCCACTCGGAGAGAAATCGGGCATCCATTGGTCATCTTTTATTAATAATTTACTAATTATGATTATTATGCAGATGAATCCTGCATAGTCCAGTCTTTCCCAGGGCAACAGTTTTGGAAACAAAGAAATCAGAATCAGAGAAGTACAGTATATTGTCATATTCCTATGTTTGCCTCCTCGGTGTGAATAATTGTAGCTCTGGAATTGATTGCCGTATAACACACCGCCCTAAACCTTGGTGGCTTCAAACAATGATTTATTATTTCTCTTTGTGGACTGATTGGGTTTTTCCTTTGCTGGTCTCACAGGAGTCACTTATGTTAGACCAGCAGGCATTGTGGCTGGAAGTGGGCTCAGCCGGGATGGTTGGCACAGCTGGGCCTCTCCCTCCACATGGTATTTTCATTCCATCCAAGAGAAGAGAAAAAAACCTGCAAGCCTCTGGCACCTAGCATCATTTCTGTGACATTCTCTTGGTCAAACAGCCTTGAGTCAAGGGGCAGGCAAACTGACTCCACCTCTTGACGGGAGGGCTGGTAACGTCACAATGCAAAGGAGCACTAGAGAAATGGCTACCACCATCTTTGAAACCAAGCAATATTAGAAACGTAGTGAACACGGGAGATGAGGACGTTAGGCTATAAAGCTATTATAGTTTAGCTGTCACAGCAGCTTCCAATGACAGTGCACACAAATCTTGGGCACTCTGGGATTTGCTGGTGGCAGGTACAAATTCGCACAGCATTCATTCATTATTTGTTCATTTATGCAGAAAATTTTATTGTGTTTTAGGCTTGTTCTAGGTGGGGTCTATTGCAGCGAAAGAAAAGAAGTTCTTGTCTTCATGTAACTCAAATTCTAGTCAGGGGAAATGCAAAAATGTATAGGATTTGACAAGTTGTGATAATCAGTATGGGAAAAAAATAGAGCAGAGGTCAGGGAGATGAGGGGGAACGATGGAGAGACAGAGAGAAACCAGACAGGGAAGTATGGGGAAAATCAAGATGAAATGGTGTCTCATTGGGCGGAAAGTATTTGAAGACAGGAGTGACAATTGTTTCAAAGGCTGCTGAGAGGTTAGCTGAGGACTGAGGACTGACCACTGTGCTTGGCAACGTGGAGGTCATCAGCAGCCCTGACAGGAGCTCTTTCATGGAGGGGGTGCAGAGAAAAGCCAGATTAGTTTGAGTTCAAGAGAGAAGGAGGGAAAAGGAAGGAGAGGCAGAGGATATAAAAAAAACTCTTTGGGGGATGTTTTGCTGAAAGGGATGGGGAGGAAACGGATGATAACTGAAGTGGGCCACAGGAGAGAATTTTACATCATAGGAACTACGACAGCGTGTTTGGTGCTATCGGGATGACCCAGAACAGAGTGAAAACTGATGACGTGGAAGAGACAGGGACATTTCTGCAATGATGTCCTTCAGTAGTTGAGGAAGATGGATTGCTCTAGAGCAGATTTTAAAATTCATGTCATTAAATTTTAAAGCATATATCCTAAATATATATAAGCACATATATACATATATATTTTAAACTTTTAGTTATATATTCTTTTGCTACATATATTTTAAACTTTTATTTAGGGGCGCCTGAGTGGCCCAGTCAGTCAAGCGTCTGCCTTTGGCTCGGGGTCCTGGGATCGAGCCCTGCATGGGGCTCCCTGCTCAGTGGGGAGCCTGCTTCTCCCTCTCCCTCTGCTCTCCTGCTCCTGCTCTCTCACTCACTCATGCTCGTTCTCTCTCTCTTTCTCAAATAAATGAAATCTTTAAAAAAAAAGAAAGCAATGACTTTAAATGTAATGTTTGATATGGTATAGTTAAAAGATCTAATTCAGGGGCGCCTCGGTGGCTTAGTCGTTAAGCTTCTGCCTTCGGCTCAGGTCATGATCCCAGGGTCCTGGGATCGAGCCCCACATCAGGCTCCCTGCTCACCGGGAAGCCTGCTTCTCCCTCTCCCACTTCCCCCTGCTTGTGTTCCCCTCTCTCGCTGTGTCCCTCTCTGTCAAATAAATAAAATCTTTAAAAAATAAATAAATAAAAGATCTAATTCATAAGAAGTTTCTTCAAATGTAACTAGAGGCTACTTTTGTCACATGTAATATCACAAAATACAAAAAATACTCAGGGGAATAACCACATTTCCATTTTTATTAGTTGACGTTGGGTCACTTTTTAAACATAGATCATCCCCATGGCCTTCTTGAGTCCATGATTAAAGGGGAAAAGTGTGCATCTCATCATAGGTATACAACTAAAACCTTTCACCACATGACAAGAAGAGTGAGAAATGCATTTTGTAGTTTTTGTGTAAAAAAAAAATGCAGTTGCCAGCTAATGGGCAAACTAAGAAAGGTGTCCCCAAGTTGCCAGGGGTAAAAAGGCTAAGTGATAGGCACTAGAGCCTTTCCCAGAAGACACTGTTCTCTGGGAGATATTTTTGAGGCTGAAATTACCAACACAGAAACATTATTCTGTGATTGAATGGCTAATATAATAAAACGATGATGTCAGGTTGAACCATGAAAGTCTTTAAGGTGGCCAAAGTGAAACCCCAGTTGTAAATTGATAAGTCCAGGTAGGTCAGAAAGACACTCAGGTGTGGTCATCACATTCACAGTGTGCGGATCTCTTTCTCAGGGAGACAGAATGCTCCTAAATCAGCCTCTCCACAGCAGGGGGTGACATCATGCTCCACATTTCCACTCGAGAGCCTTCCTTTTCCTGACGGCTGGGGCTGTAGGTTCCCTGAGTTGCCCTTTTGTGGGTGGCAACCACAGAAGCAACCACCACCAGAAAGAGGATCAACAGCAAGGCGGACGTCACTGAGCCAATGGCGGTGAAAATGTCCGAGATCAAGTCATCTGCCAACTGGAAGGAGTGAAATAATGGGGAGGTGAGTTATAGAGAAAAGGTAAATGTTTAGGACATGGCAACTACCCTGGAATGAAAACCAACCAGAACGCTGATGCTGCTCAGTACTGTAAAAAGACCAAGGTATGAAAGGGAAGCTTTTTTCTTATTCCCAGGTCATATGAAAATGACTATGGATGTAACAGCCAAGGTCAAGTGTCAGAAAGTGTGGCGTGAAATATCTGCTCGATTTACTCTGCGTCTTCATCTCTGTGACTGGGATCGTTCCTATGACATCAAGGGCAAAAGATACCTCCGCACTTATATTTGTAAAATAGTTCTCCATCTATACAAACACATTATTTACGGTATCTTCCCTCCCTTGCCAGAAGCTCTGGTTTTGGATTGAAGGAATAGTTGTTTTACATCCTTCTTTGGCGTGAGGTGGTGGGGGAGAAGCAACAAATTAAATTAGCTGGGAAAGATCCCGAGACAGAGCAGGGACTGCAACGTGCTGGTCCGCAGGCCCTTTCCATAGTCATCGCTTTGATTTGGATTCAATGTGACAATTGAATTGTTGTAAAAACACAGGCGCTCGATGTCGCACCAAACATCTAGAAACAGAAAACTGCACGTAGAGTCCCGTCGGGAGGATCCCGCGATCTCAGTCAGGGGCGTTGCTCCGACACAATGGTTTCTTTAATGTTCCTTCCGCTGGGTTTGCCGAGCACTTTCGAGCATTGGGTAACATGCGTCTGTGATTTAGTTGCAAGAGCAATATGAAAGGTAGGAAGCAGTCACTATGTGAATTTTTTAACTGCTTTTCAAAGAAATAGTTCTGTCACAGTAAAAGTGCGATTAAACCATTTAGCTTTCTCTGTGACCCAACCCCACATTACCAAGCAAAGCTACTGATATGTATGGAATTTTATTTGAACATCCTAGGGAATTTTAAATATCTTCATTCTCCTTAGTCTTTGTTGTTGTTGTTGTTGTTCAGTGTGCCTTGATTTAAAGTATCATGCAACTAATATAATATTGTATCTCTTCATAGTGTTGTCTTGGGTGTCCTCACTACTGCTCAATGTACTTCATCGGTTTATTCATTCATTCAACAATATTTATTGACTGTCTGCTATGAACACTTCATTGAGCTGGGAAATAAACATACAAAGATAAATCAAAGTTGTTGTATGTAAGTGATGAACTATTGAGTTCTACTCTTGACACCAGTATTGCATTGTATATTAACTAACTAGACTTTAAATAAAATCTGAGAAAAAGAAAAGAAAAAAAGGCAAAAAAAAAAAACAAACCCAAAAAACAAACCTACACAAAGTTTGGAATCTGGAGCTCAGATTCTGGTGATGAGAGAAGAGGAGGGGACACACACACACATACGCACCAATGATCATAATACATTACAAATATAGATTATGATAGTGTCATAAATGAATTCTAATGGGGTGTAGGTGGAGTCATACTGGAATGAGGCATGTGATTGTTCATTGAAGTATGAAAGGACATACAAATATTTCAAGCAGGAAATTCTATTTGGATGGAACAGCTTGAAATAAAAAAGGCAAGGGAACATAAAAGTCCTTAGAGTTTGGGGCAACAGTAAGAAATCCAATGTGACTGAAAATATTGTCCAAGAATGTGTGTTTGAATTGGGAAAGGATTTTAAAAGTTGGCAAGAGATAGAACTGTAAAGTAGATTAAATTTACAAGAAATTTAAGTACCACACTGATATTCGGATTTTTGTCCTATAGTCAGTGGCAGGGGTGCGGGGGGGGCATTGAAGGAATCTGAGCAGCAGCATCATATGATCTGATCTGTGTTTTATTAATTTGGCTCTGGTTACAGGGTGACAGATGGTGACAGTGAAGGTGGGGAAGAGACTGGAGGTGGAGAAAATAGGAGTTTATTTTATTAGTCATGACAAGCAATGACCTAGGTCTCACTTTACCAATGGAATGAGAATTGAAGGAAAAGAATGGTTGAGGGGGATTTCTGAGGTAGAGTTGCTCCCTCTCAGACTGTGTGAGGCTGGGGAACAGCAGAAGAGAGACAAGATGGCCGATGCTTCCACATTAGATGGCCGCGTGGCTGGGGACAACCTCCCCTGGGACAGGGGACCTAGGAGGAGAGAACAGGTTTGTGCAGGAAGATAAGTTCAGTTTGGGAAAAGCTAGTTTCAGAAAGCATTCAGGTATGTTGTGCTAGTAGACAGACATAATTCTTCTCTGCTCTCCACTTTTCACATTGCTGTAAAAAACTCTGGGTTGTAACCACTTTTCATCCCTCAGTTATAGGAGCTTAGGAGTTAGAGAATTTAGAATCACAAGAGTCTGTAGTTTTTGAGCAAAATGGTTTACCTCCACTACAGGGGGAGTTCTCCTGCCATACTGTGTGGCCGTCCTTTTGTGAGTCATTACATCTTATATCTGCAAAGATAGCTGTGGGCTGGGAAAAATGAATAGATTCATAGACTTGGCCTTGAGAGGTCAAAAGTCTGAGAAGGACAGATGGAATCCGACCAGCAAAAACCCTTGGTATTATCTAGGGACCTTCAGATAATGTACACTCTTGTTCCTACAATGTTGGCTTCATCTAAATCTGTCCAGTAAACTGTGTCGTCTTCCTTGGGAATAAGGAAACAAAATGAATGCAAAATAACACAAAACATGGCCTATGGTAAGTTCTCAACACATAAAAATATGACTGGCCATTTCTATGCCATTTCTCATCCTCCCTAAGTCTATTTACTTATAAAAGATAAACTAGCACTCCCTCAGTACCTTGCGGTATATGGCCAAGGGAGCCAACCTACAAACCTAATATTGCAATTCCGAGCTCCAGATAAAGGTTTTGATGAAACAGTTCGCCTAACTCTATCACATAGAGCATGTCATTAAGCTTTGGAATAAAGCTGAATGAGTAGGGTTTTGAAATCGCCTCTTGAGGGCCCTTTGCTTTTGAATTCCCATGGTTGAAAGGCCTTTTTTGCTCTGCTATTCTTCAACTGTGCTTAAAATACACAGCCCCAGAATGGATCTTTTGATAATTGAAACTGCTAGGGACTGATGAAGGCCTCCAAGCGCAGGACTGTCCTGAAAACCAGCACGGACGTCAGGCCACGCCTGCCCGGCTGGCTTGTGCCCTCACACCGCAGTTCTGAGGAACCTTCTTCTGAAAAGATAGACCCGAAATTAATTACACCTTTCGTGTAAGATGATTTTTTAATGACATGCTACAATCTGTATTCAGTTATTATGTTTGCATCTTTTTAAAATGTATATTTTACGTGTGGTTAATTGAAATTGCAATTACTTTGAATTCTGTGTTTGCAGAATAAAATAAATAGGTGTTCCTTTTTCCCCCCCTAAAGAGGATTCATTCTGAAACACTGACTGACTGGTTGTAGCCTACATATGACCCAAGGCAAAGGTACACTCTGGAATTCTGAGGGGAAACTGTCAAGCCTTATTTTGATTCTTTTCACTTGAGAGTATGCTGGAATATGCTGGAACCATACTTCCCCCCTGCTTTTTTTTAAATTTATTTATTTTAGAGAGAGAGCGAGCATGAGGTGGAGAGGCAGAAGGAGAGAAGGTCTCAAGCAGACTCCGAGCTGAGTGCAGAGCCCAATGGGGGGATCTATTCCAGGATCCTGAAATCATGACCTGAGCCAAAACCAGCAGTCAAACCCTTAACCGGCTGCACCACCCAGGCGCCCCCCCCTTTTTTAATTCTTTAAAAGGAATTTAATACTGTGTTTCTTCTGAAGGGAGACTGGAAACAGTATGTACTTGCTGAACAAACAGAATGGGTTTAAAAGCAGTTTTGCCACTGGTGTAGTTTACAGATAGGCTAAGTTTCCCCACCTGTAAAGTGAGGATAGGAATCACCAGGTCTCAGAATTGGTCCGAGTATTGTAGCATTTGGGCATTTAGAGAGCAGCTCACGAGGCGTGGACTCAGTCCTCATCATGGCTCTAGTTTATCATTACCCGGAGTGACCGCTCCCTGGCTGGTGTCCCTGGTCCTGCTCCCAGCCACAGACCGGCTGTTGGCAAATGTCAGCATTCAGGGCCGAGCGTGGGGACGGCGGGGGCCTGCACATTATCACCCTGGCCCATCAGGATCCACTGGCCCCTCACTAATGGATTGCTGAACAGTTCACCCTCATTTTGAAAACACAAAATGAGCTGGCCTGTCTGGAAAGAATAAGAAATGAGACCACTTCTGTCCTCAGCATCAGGATCTGCCTGTCACAATATTTAGGGCCGGTGACAGCATTCAGAAGGATGTGAAAACAATACACACATTGGCCGGAGTCTGGGAAAAAGAGAAAACATTCTAGAGTTTCTCGGGAAATTTGATCTCACATTTCCAAGTGAAAATACTGAAGCGTTGCCTTAAAGCGAGGACAGTCAAGGACTGATGTTACAGTTACCACCTGTTAGAACGTCTTTCTCTGGAGCCTGGGTTTTGTAACAGCGAAAAGTACATTTGTGGTTAAACAGTGGTGATGCTTGCGGCTTAAAATTGGCTCCTGGAAAGCCTGAAAAGCTTTCCAGGCTGAAAGTCCTGGAAAGGACTGAACTACTTACAGTCCTTCCTAGAATTCACTTATACATGTTATGTAAAAATCCTTAGAGACAGTTTAAGATGGGAAGTTAAAATGTTTGAATGTGCCTGTTGACCACCAGTTACATTCCAGGTTCAGTATGTGAGTTTTTGAAACTAGTTTGTGCTGTTTTGTGTGACATGAGTAGCTAAGTAAGGCCAATATGTACTAGTATGAGAATTAGGGAAGAATGGGGAAATTACCTTAAAGATGTGTTTTTAAAAAGCTGGTTATAATATGTCACTCCTATCTATGTATCCAAAGCAAAATGAGGACATGGCTTAAGCTCTCATCCCACAAATTAACAACAACAACAACAACAACAACAACAAAAAAACAGAAGAACATTCCATATTTAAGACCGAGGAGAGCAGTGCTTGTGAAT